AGATTTCTTAAAATACACAGAACTTGGCAGCAGGCATAAAATTTCAGGAAAATAAAGCAGATGCCAACTAAAAGTATTATGTACTCTAGTTGAAAGGTACTGGGTGCAACCATAGCTCATTTCTATTTGAGAATTTCTATGAGGACACTGGACCTTATATTGAAGTTGTAATAACTCTTTAATGAATTTGACTTTGAAAATTCAGAGAAAGTCTCTCTGAATTGTGTACACTAAATAGATACATGCCAATCAGCATTCAGTAGCAGCCAAGTGGAATTAGAGAAAAGTAGATATTGAGAGAACCACTGACATATAATCCATTCACCTCACTGCCTCTGTTCTCCATATAATAACACCTGGGTTGTTTTCAGGATGGCAGGACTTGAAAATGCTAATGTGTGCTATGAGTATCCTAGGAATACAGGGGTACAACATACACATGTTTTATGCCCTCCCCAAATTCAAGGAGCCTATTTCGGGAATTACTTTAAGGAGCTCTTTTTAGTGTCTTGAACATCTGTCATTGTGTACATGGGACCTCAGTTAAGTTCAAACCCTTTTCGAGATGAGATCTCTTCAGTTTTTTGAAGTCAATGACCATGTTCTCCTAAGTCTTTTCCAGGCCAAACATTGGCCCCCTCTTGCAAACATTGTTAGTTGGGCAGGGTCACCATCTCCTTACCATGATGGTGTTTCAGTTTTATCAATTCTATGCCCAGAATCACCAGGATTCTCTTTCATGGGATGAATGCACAAAGAACAGAAAGGAACTACTTGCCTCCTTTGGACTGGGCATTACACTGCATTTTTGTCCTCTAGTAGAAAAGTAGCAGTTAAGTTCTAGACACAGAGATTAACAAACACTGAATAAACCACTGACTTCTGGGTACTGCATTTTAATAGGAAACATATTATGGCTCGGAAGAGACTATCTACTTGAAACATTAAAAAAAAATAAAAAGGTTTCTTTCTTTTTTTTTTTTTTTTGTAGTTTTTGTCCGGGGCTGGGTTTGAACCTGCCACCTCTGGCATATGGGACTGGCGCCCTACCCTTTTGAGCCACTGACTTAATTTAAAAAAAAAAAGTTTTAGAGATCATTTGTATTTTATTGTTTACAAGCTCTACAGCCCCTAGAACAATTGTCCAGTTAAATGATTGGCAGCACTTCAAATGTTCGATTCTATTCTGAGAATACACAGACTTGACATTTACTTTTTAATATTCCCCTTAATCTTTGTTTGGTCTTTCTTGCCAAGAGGCAACTTCATTGGTGAACAAACACTGCTTTGTCTTTTTAGTTCTATGTCTGTGTGTATATGTGTATTTTTTCCATTCAAAGGTTTGATTAATGGCTTATGGCTTTTCTGAGCAATGAGATGAGGTCAGAATAGTTCAGGAAACAATTAAACTAATAGTCAAAGCAGAAAGATCCTGGACTCAGTGTAATGCAGGACTTCCTCATGTTATATTATTCATTCTAATGGTCATGCAATGGTATAGGTACAACAATGCTAGGGTCCGTGTGAATTTTAAATTCATTCCTAGGGCAATGTATTTTGTACTGTATCTTGGAGCATTAAAGTGTGTTCACCTGTTGGTACCTTGCCTGGATCTCATTTACCATGTTAACTATGTGAAGCGTTGGCTGCTAATGACTCATGGATACTCTTTTTTCCCCAATAATTAATCTCAGCTAAATGGGATGTATATTGCCTAAGATGCCACACCCCCAGCACTTCCTAGGGGAATCCACGTCCAATGACTGAAGGACAGGAGTGTGCAAAGGCCAGTTCCTTGTCCCAAAGTTGGATGCTCAGTATCATCAGTCTAGCGTGTTCCTCTGCTGAGAGCACTTCCTTGCTGGGCTCTTTCCCCCTGCTTTGACTCTTCTCCTGAGGGCACCTCCACAGCAAACCACTTTCATAAGAACCCTGTCTCAGGCCCTGCTTGTAGGGATGCTAACCTAAGACTTCACTACTATTATTGTCCCCAGAGGTTGCCACTCATATAGTTATGAAAGTGAATGATTCTTTGTGTAGCAACTATATAAGAAAACTGATGTCATAGGCTATGAAATCCATTTTGATAAACATTTGTTTAGAAAATATGAGTCCATTTAATATGCTGTGCCTCTTATTAAGTGGACTTCACCTAAATAATTTTAGTTAATTTAAAAATCATTTGGGAAACAAGGTATCTGACAATGAACAGAAAAATGGGGTCCTTTGGAAAAATCTCCTTAGTTGGAGTAAACTCATGCATTGAATAGTACATGTTGTCTTATTGACATCTTTGAAATTTCAGTGAGGTGCAGATTGCCATGTAAGTTCACTGCCCTCTTGAAATGAGTCATGGCAGATAGTTAATTTACTATAAAGATAGAAAGCCACATACACAGTGAAGATTAATCTTCCCACCCCAACTCTTATTGTTAAGGCTTAAAGATGGCAAGCATGGATCTGCTTAGTGGAGGGAATATGTTTATCTAACCAAGCACAAGAGATATTTCAAAGACATCCTGGCCTAGCCTAAGACTCAGATATTGAGTCCTATTGAGCCCAAGGCAGGTGCATGCACACCTGACAAGCACACCTCACTGCCTATTTTTGTTACATCTCCATAAAAAGTTGTGTTGATCATCTTTGGCTTTATTAGGTGATAAAATTTTCTTGGGAGGGATAGCCCAAGAGGTGATTGTAAAGGGTAGCAAGGTCCTTGAGGCAAGATTGGATTAACCAGAGGGCATGTCATGGTGCCTACTTAACCCAAGGGGTATGGGATCTAGGTAAGTATCAACCTTCAGGTGTCAAGTCCAAGGGCAAGGGAAGACGTGGCACCAGAAAACTAAAGAAATTAGAAAAAGATGGGCAGAAAATGAGACTGGGATCTGGTCTACTTTTATTGATCAGCAGTCGTATGGTAAATATGTGGCCTGTCCATCTTTAAGGCAGAAATGTGAGGCTTTATAAAACGTACTGTGAGTGTCCACTGAGGATGTCAGATTCATTGTATTTTTAAAGACATGTCCGTCAGCTGGAAAGTATACAAATGAAGTTTGATTTTTCTTGGCTATCATTATACAGACTTTGGTTCTCAGTTGAAAGGAGGGAAAAAACCGCTTTAATATCTTTTATAAAATATTATTCTGAGTGGATAATAGCAGGCAGTCTTTCCATAAAGTCTAGAATATGATGATGATGTGTGGCTTGAAGGAAAGAAATCTATAGGTAATGTATGTGGAGACAGAAGGCTAAGTTTGAATGATGAAGAAAGAGGAAAAGGGCAGATCAGCTGCTCTAACAGCAGAGAATTTAACAGCCCTAAGAGCTGTTTCAAGAAGTTAGAACACTTGTCAGCCCTCCTTCAGCTCCACTTCTCTCCTCACCTCCTCCCTCCTACCCTTTATCTCTCCTCCTTTCCCTTCTGCCTCACATCACCCCTTTCTTCTTTCCTCAAAGAAGCCTTTGTTTTATTTTGTTTTTATTCTTGAAAGGTGTGCCTTGCATATTTCCCTTTTATAAAAAAATGGCAGCTACAATATAAATTTAATTTTGATGAGAGAAAAGCACAGTGTAATTATCACTAAATGCCATTAGCAGTGGGCATTTTTTTTTTTTGAGTGTGATATTCAAAATAGTCTTATAAAATCATTGCCACACTTGAGGTGTACCTGGAATCCTCTTTAGGGTAATGACTATGACATTCCTCAGAGGTGAACTCAATTCTATTTCTCATTTTTAAAAACACATGTTCTGTTTGTCTTTTCACACACTCATCACAGTGAAATTTAAAATAGAGACTCATCATCACCTATTTAGGGGTTATGAATAGCATTGCCTTGAAAAGGCCTGGTGGAAGTTTGTGTGGAAATTGAAAGTGACACATCAGATTCAGAAGCTAGGCAGGCACAGAAACTAAGAGGCTGAATTGCCTAAATATTCTGAGCAGGGAGCAGGAGGAGACCTTCACCTCAGCCCTCACTCTGACAGTCAGATACCAGGCATCACGTCTAGATGGGATGTGAAGTGGAAGGTGGGAGCACCAAGATTTAGTAATTTAGCATAATCTACCAAAGAAAAAGGAAAAAAAAAATCTGTAATGTGGAGACCACCATAAGAGGTAGTTTGGATTACTAAGCCCTTTGTCAGGTGGCTGGCAGTCCCTGTTACTAGAGGCAGAGTGGGCTTCCCCAGACTTTTACTGTGGGCTTGGCCACAAAACTTACTTGAGATAACAGAATTCCAGCAGAAGTCATAGTGCGTCCCCTCTAATTCAAGGCCTAAAGAAGCCTTGTATGCTTTTACTTGTCCTCCCCCAAGCCCCCCCAAACTATGAAGTTGTAGAGTAGTTGTTGGGCAGTATTATGGTAGAAATCCTTGACTGATACAAGTACTATTCCTAAATATGGCCTGGTTGAAGGAAGAACATGAATCATAGTAAGCAGAATATGAAACTCTGAGTAAATAATGGTTTTCTGAAAATGAGGACAGGCTTTATGTATATCATTGTAAGAGGGGTGACATTGCACCTCATTTTGAACATCCCAAACTCTACTGGCAAAGGGTAAAGGAAATCGTAGGACCCTGCCTTTCACATGCCAATCAAAGGTATGTCCAAGTTCAGAGATGACAGACATTGACCTCTTTGGGAAGCAACAGACTTTCTAAGTCTCACTTGTTGCCCTGATGCAGGTGTACTAAGGTCTAGACTTGCTGCCTCAATGCATGAAAGCTCTAAGGAACTTGAGGGCTCCTTGGGGGGGGGGGTCAGATGAAGTCTGAGTTACAACTATATCACATCCCCACTTCTCCCTCTGCCCAGTCCTGCTTCCCTTACCTTTTCACAAATATTGCTCCCCAAAGCACTCCTGAACGATCCTCCTGCATGTAAATCTCTGAGGCCCAAAGTCTGCGGTGGGAACCTGGACCCGTGGTCCACCACTCTCACTCAGCTTTCCAGGGGCGCTGGGATCTGGAGGAGGGGGCAGGGGAGACCTTACCCACTATCATGTGGTTGCAGACATCACAGAAAGTGGGCTTCTTGAAGATGTGTTCCTGAAAGGAATGGGCCTTGCTGCCTGGATGCAGGCCTGCCCTGGCTGGCATGGACATCAGGCTTCCTGGTGCAGGGAGTGGGCTGGAGCTGGGGCTGACCTCGGCCAGCATGTCTGCTTGCAGCTTCACGTCATCACTGTTGGCTCTCTGGAAGAAGTTGTCAGCACTTTTGCTCCGTAAACTCTTGGTCTTGAAAGAAAGCGATCGTTTTAGTTTCTGGAGCTGCAAAACAATGACAGAACAGTTTCTCTTATAATTGACAAATCACGCAGAGCCAGGCTGTGGGGGTGGGGTCTGCTCCATGCACTGTGCAGTTCCCACTGACACCCTTTGCCTGGAGGACGCTTCTGTATGTGTCTGTGTGGGTGGGGTAATGGCAGTGCCTAGTGAAGGGAGAACTCAGCAGCACACCCCACCCCTGCTGCTAAGCCAGACAGCAGAAAGAGGTCCCACTGTGCCTCTGCTTCTGCCCCTGCTCCTCTTCCCCTGCCTCCTTCAGGTACCATGAGCATGCTGTCAACATGTCCTACTGCACTGGGTTTTGACATCACTTGTCTTTGTTCGTTTGTTTCAGTGGTAAGATAGGACTTTTATTAGAAGTTAGAAAGGAATACAGAAGAAGTAAAAAGCACCAGAGCTTCTGGAAGTTGGAAAGAACTGAGGAACCAATATCACTTGTCTTTTGAATTTGAACCATTAGAAATACTAAGTGAATGAACTTACGGGCTCAAAGGCTGGTGTGTATTGCTGGCCTTTCCCACTTGTGGTCACTTAGCAGCCTCTTGTCTCTGCTCACAGCAAAGTAGAAGAGTCCATTGTCTGATTTGAAATCTATCCAGCTCAACTACCCACCTAACATGAACCAGAAACTCCCAAATCTGCTTATGCATGAAGCATATGGATAAGTAACCGGCGTGTGTATGTGTGTAGGACACAGTGTTGATTTATTCCTTTGACTTTCTAGGCTCTTCCTGCTGACCTGCCCTTGTTTTTGACCATAACAAACTAGACCATTTCTCCTTTGCCATTGGGACTTACGAAGAAGCACCAAAATGGATGTGGAAAAGAACTAGCTGCTGGAAGGTTTGGGTCTGAGTCTGGTCCGTCCCTCTAATGCAGTCTTCACTCTGAAGCTATAGGAATCTTTTGGAACACAGATGTGAGCATATGAACCTTCTTGTTTAAAATCCCTCAAGAAGTATCCTTTGTTCTTAGATTTAAAGAAGAGTGCCTTGTCATGGGCTCCAGAGATTGCCAGATTCTAGACTCAGAGACAGCTGGCACCACCATCCACAATGATATTTTAAAAATCTCTCCCATTTACAATTCTTTTTCATTACCATTCATTACTACATAGTTTTTCCTTTGCTCCGATAAAAGAAAAAGACTACCTGCTAACTAGCTACATGACCTGCAACAAGTTATTTCACCTTGAAGGTGGCTTCCTTTTGTAATTGAATATCCATGGGAGTTCTTTCTATTGCCTAGAATTAACATCTCCGGCAGACAAAAAGGTGCTCAGATATCAAACTAAAAATCTTCTTCATAGCAAAGTAAATAATCAGCGGAGTGAAAAGAAAACCTACAAAATGGGAGAAAATATTTGTAAAATATTCAGTAAATAGGGAATTAATATCCAAAATACAAAAGAACATTGAGAAATGTCTGACGGAACAGAAATTTCTCAAAAGAAGATATACAAATGGTTAACATATATATGAAAAAATTCCTAACTTCACCAATCATCAGGGAAATTTAAATCAAAACCATAATGAAGTATCATTTCACCCCAGTTAGGATGTCTATCATCAAAAAGACAAAAAAATTTGCAAAAGGTGGCAAGGATGGAGAGAAATGGGAACTCTTATATACTGTTGGTGGAAATATAAGTTAAGTATAGCCACCATGGAGAACAATAGGGAAGTCCTTCAAAAATCTACAATAGAACTACTATGTAGGGTTCAGCAATCCCACTACTGGGCATTTCTCCAAAGGAAACAAAGTAAGTATGTCAAAGAGACATCTGTACTCCCATGGTTACTGCAGCAGCATTTACAATAGCCAAGATAGGGAATCAACCAACAACGGATGGATAAAGCAAATGTGGTATATATACACAATGGATTACTATTCAACCATAAAAAGGAATGAAATCCTGTCATGTGGGGCAACATGTATGGAGCTGGACGACACTGTGTTCAGTGAAATAATCTAGGTACAAAAAGACAAACTCCATGATCTCACATGTGGAACTTAAAAAAAGTTGATCTCATGGAAGCAAAGTGTAGAATAGAGGACAATAGACTGCTAAGGGGAAAGTTAAAAGATATACAATTACAGCTCAGCAGGAAGGATAAGTTCTAGTGTTCTATACCACTGTAGGATGACTATAGTTAATAATAATACACAGTTTCAAACAGCAAGAGGAGCATATTGACTGCTCTAAACACAAAGAAATTGTACATGCTAGAGAAGCTAAATATGTTAAATACTTTGATCTGACCACTACGTATATATTAAAACATTACTATGTACCTCATAAAGGCATACAGTTATTATATGTCAATTAAAAATGATAAACAACAAAAAAAAAAAAAGAAAAAAAGAAAAATGGAAAACAAAGAAAAGAAAAGGTACCCAGTACTCTATTCTAATGAAGGCCTCTATCAAGTTTGGTCAGACTCCCTGACACAATATATAAGACTAGTTGATGTGACCTTGCCAAGCTCAGCCACCTCTGCCTCAGCCCTCCAACCTTTACCTCAGAAGTCCAGGAACATATGGTAGTCATCAGTACTTTGTGCCAACTACAAAACCCCCACAGTTTTCTTCCTTTCTCCTCATCCCCGTCATTCTGCAATGTGACATTGTAGCTCCTCTCATCAAAAGTGATGCCTGTTCTCCCACTCTTTGAATCTAGTTGGTTTGAGAATTTGACCAACAGAAAGATGCAGAAGCAATTTTAAGGCAGTGCCAAACTCTCAAGACATTTTGCATGCTTCTGCCCTTCCTTAGGGAACCTGCCAAACCACCTTATGTACAAACCTAAGGTAGTCTGAAGGATTAGGAGAGACATGTGGTCTGATAAATTCCTGATCACTGCAGGGAGACCCCAGAAGCAGATTCTGCTGTCTTTTAGGCATGAGGGAGTCTAGATAAGACCAGAATAACTGTCCAGTTGGGTCCTCTTCAAACTGTCATCCTGTACACTCATCAACTAAAGAGAGAACTGGTGTTTTAAGTCATTAAATCATGTATCTGTTGTGTGTACATAGCAATAGATAACTGATACAATACTGCTCTCCCCACCCTCCTGCATGTGGTGGGATTGTACTTCAGTGGGGAGGACCTACAGGGACCTCTAGAAAAACCCCACTATGGCCACCAGTAGGGCACCCTCAGCCAGAAAGGGCTATCCAGAGAAACAGCAATAATCTAATAGAAAGGTCAGAAACAGTAGGCCAGCTATGACTCTTTTCTCTTTCTCCCTATTCTATAGCTCAAACATTCCAGAGGAGGTAGAGCTGCTAAAGAAGGGGGAGGAATTAGGTATTCCTGAATTATTGTGGAGTTTCTTGTTACTGTGGCATGACCTAGCATATCCTGACTGATACAGGGGAGCAGGGTCTGAGGTTTATGAAGCATAGCATTGATTGTGAAAAGGCCCTTCATCTCTGAAAAGTAGGGAAGACTACAAAACATTTGTTGATTTAGCCAGACTCAGGCAAGAATCTGGAATCAGCAGGAGAACGGAATAGACCCTATTAACTTCAACTCCTTCAGGCTATAAACTAGACAGGGGCTGGAGGAATGGAGGCTTAAATAGGAGACAAAACTGGAGTTCTATTTTAGACAGACTTCTCATACATTAAAGTAAGCAGTAAGTTAATGAATCTGCCAAGATTTTGTCATGGTATGTGCAACCCAGGGAGAGAAAGGTTTATTAAAGAAAATGCCATTACATAGGAAAAATAAAGCCATTTTCTGGTTTAAGATTGGCTACCCACATCTCAAAAATAGAATAATAACACCCACCCACCCCCACAATACCAGGGCACTATTGTGATTGTCACAGAGGACATGGGAGAACTCTCTGAGAACTTTTTAGGGTACAAATGGGTGGAGGATGGAATGGGCAGGAAAGGGGAAACGGAGTTTGGAATATGGAGCTGGACTAAGCTTTACCAGTTGACTCCTCACAATCCTCCTAACCATTCATGAAGATGTTCTTTTATTCCTGGAGTGTGAGGGAGGGTGAGCAACTTGCCTATGGGTACACAACTCATATGAATCAAGACCAGAGTTCACAAGTGCATCTGCTTTCCTCCTATCCTCATGCTCTTTCCACTGTGAGTGAATCTTTACGGGTTAACTAGGGAGATGGGGAGAATTTCCCCTTCCTGCCAGGGCATGAAACAACTTCTGATGGTCAGTGAGGGTAGGAAGGGATGCAGAATGGGAAGCCAGAGGGAGTGTTTGGATGGTGCCTATACATATACAGGCTTGTCTCCTACCTGTTCTCACATGCTGTACTTCTTTCAAACCATTCATCATACCTGGTATTCTGTATGCCCTGGAAATTTATGTTTATGTTTCATTGTGATGCCAGGAAATCTTCATCAGTTTCTTTTCTTGTCCTATAAGATGTGGCTGGAAGTTGTGTCAGGTGGTTGGAGCCTGACTGCCTCTAGGGCTGGAGAATTTACCTTAGAAGCCAATGTGACATTTCTCATTCAAGTGGACCGCTTAAAAGAAATATCTACAAGTTAAATAAACTCCTAGACAAGAGCTCAAAGGATGTTTTCTCCAGTTATCCCTAAAAAAGCAGAGGCCAGATACAAACATGTGCAATGCAGAGATAGAAGCAAACACTTGTAATCACAAATGTCACAGAATGCTGAGCTCCCATGCACCACTGCCATGGCCAGCTCCATTTTATTTATAATAATAATGGTAAAAGGAAGAGATATTCACGGGTACCTTACCACGTGCTATATACTTTACTTCATGTAATCATCCTAGCAATCTTAAAAGGGGATCATTCATTCATTAAAAAATTCATTTAATAAATATTTATTGGAGGAGCACTATGAGTCAGGCATAGTCTATGATTTTAAGGTCTAGTGGATGGAGATTGAAAATAAATAATCAAAGAGGAATGTCATTCATACAAATTTGGATGGAGATAGGATCTACAAAGGAAAATAAAAGCAGAGCCAAAC